TGTGATTGGCTTCATTGTTGCAGCTCCAGGCTGTTTACGCGTCAGTCTGTCCGGCTGACACGGTCAGGAAGATGGAAGGACGGCTGAATGTGCATTTGGATGTCATGCCTCCCCTTGAGGCAAGATAAACAAGTGCATTGAAGTGCAGGCATGAAGAAATTCTCACTCTAAATGGTAACTTTGTGTCTTTTTTGTGATTTAGTCTGAATTCCAGGTACCTGCCTTGAATCCTTACAGGAAATGTAATGTGCAAATACACACTCCTGCCAGTCTTCTTCTCTTTTTTTTATCCAGCTCATAGAGGCCAGTACGTTGGTGCTTGTTTACAGCACTGCAGAGTTAATTAGGCATTTTATGGCTGGTTTACAGCCTGACTGCCAGACACAGAAGATGGTTACTGTCTTGTCCTTGTTCCCACTCAAGGACTCGTCAAAAGGCATTTTACAACCGATTCAAGAGCACAAGCACATGCAAATGGTCTTTATAAGCAAGAAAAGGACAAGCTTTTTCCCATAAACTAAGAGAGGAGTATTGATATTAGGAGGATAAGAGCAAAGGATATACCTCAGTGCAGGAGACAAATGACAAATGGCAACCTGGGCAAAGATAGTGAAAAGCAGATAACCCAGAATGGTGAGGCCGATGTACCAACAAACATCATGTTGTTTTGTTCTCATGCTCCTGTCATTCATCACTTCTTGTCAAGTCCACCTTGGTGAACTTATTAGCCCCCCTATGCAAGCAAAACTATTGTGTGATTGGTTAGAATATCATAGTTGTGTTTGTATAAGTGGAAAAGTGCCCAGACAGCAATGTTTTCTATGCTTTGCTATCCATATTCACATGTGTTGGACTAAAACTCTGAACTCTTCTGGTTTGGTTCCAGTTCGATGAAATGAACCGGAACAGAAGGCATCCCACCAACATTTTGGCTTCCAGTAAAGTGAAAATAATCTGAAATATTGCACCTCATCAATGATTATTTCCTCTTCTGTCATTTAAACATATATTCTAAAAATGCTGCTAACAATAATGTTTACCACTTATCTACAACAGTTTAGAGAGGATGTATTCCCCAACACTGAAGCTCACAGTACATCCCACCCACACCTTCTCACTTCTCACTGATACAAGTTGACATCAGCAGGGAGCTAACAGCAACACTACCGAGCACAAACTGTCACCTGAGCAGAGCTAGCAAAGCGCTGACAACTAACAAGAGAAGACATCACATTAGCCAGCACGGCAGCATGCTAACAGAGCGAGCTGCTGCCTCTGTGCCGCGGTAACTACAGCTGTAGTATTCATTCATGCTTAAAGAGCCTGACACCGGCATGCTAGCAGCTGGCGGCTCACTCCCACAACACCTGACAGCTAGTTAATGTCAGCGCGGAGCCCTTTTTCAGAAACAAGAGAGGACACAGAGGTACGAGAGGTGCTTTTGTTTAGCGAGGGCTAACACAGTGTGGAAGCTCTTGACATTTAGAAACGGCTTATTTCCTCTTTTTATGACCCTTCAACTTTGTTTCCTTGATATTTTCTTTTTCTCCATTTTTATCATTGTCTTACTCTCTAGTTGTCTTGCTTTTTGTAATTTTTATGCTTTTTTTAAAATCATAAATCAAAGTAACTTCCTATAGAACTATTTCAAACTTTATGAGTAAAAGTCAAAATCTGTGTTGCACATAAAATCTGGAAGAAAAAGTGATTAGCAAATATATTTTATTAAAATTATTTAAAACCTAGAAACAAGAGAAATGTAACCTTATTCCTGTAATTGTTTCTTGATAGCCTGAAGCAAGTCTGATTGAGAGTAAACCTTAATTAGAACTCCAACAAAACATTTTGAATTCAATTTGGTTATTTATTTTTAAATAAACACTGTATTTCTATAATAACTGAATAGATACATAGATAGATAAAACACTTTATTAATCCCTTTGGGATTCACCCTCAGGGAAATTGTAGTTCCCGTCTCCCACACAGCACCTACACATCAAACAATACATCAATACTTAAATTATTTATTAGTGTATTTATTTATCATATTTATATTTTTTTAACATAGTCCCTCTGTTTATATTGTACTCCTGTTAGCCCTCCTTTCAACCTCTAGTGAGGAGTTGAAGAGTTTCAATGCACGAGGGTCTCAGTATTAAAACATAAATCATTTTAATATTTTCCCATTCTTTTTCCAATTCTGAGATTCTGTCTGCATTTTCCCTAAAATCAAGCCGGTGTGGAATGGGCCTGGAGTTCGTCCATGTCTGAACCGCAGTCAGGTGTTTGAGGAACGCTGTAAAAGACCGTTATTACTGAAGCTCGTCTGTGTGATCTGCTTTATATCTTTGAGCAGGAAAGACATGTAGCATAGGTCATCGTCCCTCTCTGCCTGTCCTTTCTTAAAAAATATATTTGATGCCATTTGTTAAATAAAACACTTCAAGCCTTAAACAAACATGCTGTCCTGTCTGTGCTGCCTTCCCTGAGGAGTTTTTGTGAGATGGAAATGTGTGTGTAATATAGATTCAAACAGTGCAATGATGATTACTGCATTCTGTAAAATTGACCAAGGCTTTTGTACGTGTGTATGTATGAAACAGGTGGCTATGCCCCTAGCTAACTGTAGGAACAAAAGCCCATTAACATGTTTTTGGTGAAGTGGATAAAGCTGGGATATAGGACTCATGATGAAGAGTGTAATGAGAATCTTTTTGCCACATGGGAATCGGGACATTTGAACAGATGTATTTCCTTTCTCCTTTTCTTTTTTTTTCTTTTTTTTGAGAGTCTGCTTTGTACATTTATTGTTGGTATTTTGGGTTTGGACCCATGTTGATAAAGGCCTCACAGTCTGCTTTTGCTTCACCCAGCAGTTTGCTTTCAGTGAAGTTTTCCCTCCTGTTTTATTCTGACTGGATTTGTTTGCTGCACATCCTTCAGGGTGTCCACACATCCTTAAAAAGTCTTAAATTTATGTATCCAAAATTAAGACCTTAATATGTCTTGAATTCATTAAAAAAGTAAGTTGACCTTAAATATATTAATCACAGGTTTTGAGTTTTGTCGTGGCAGAAGTATTTACTCATATATATGTAGTTTATTTTTCTTGTGGGACTTTTCAAGTTTGAATCGCACACAGTCGAGGAGTTGAGGCTACCGTCAACTAGCTACTGATAAATCCTTGCTAGGTATGTAGTTAGCTTTATGTGTCTATCGCGGGTGAGTGTAAATTATCACCAGTTGGCTGGACAATGTTTGTCTTTGCCATTGGCTCACAATGCTATGTGCTTTCTGGGCAAAAAAAGCTTGGCTCTTGTACATAAAATATGCAATTTTCTTTTGTACAATTCTGTTGTGACATATCTCGTAAAATTCATTCTTAAAAGTCTTAAATCTGAGTTGGTGAAACCTGCAGAAACACTTTCCTTGTGTCCCTCCTGTGCATGTTTTTAAGTTTTCTTCCCACATAGGCATCCGGATCAATTCTAATGTGGGGAGGACACATTAGCTAGCACAAGAGTGGCTAAAGGACGGCCCTTTTCTCTCTCCTGTCCCTCTTACGACCTTTTAATTGCCGTTTGTGGAGCATTATATTTTTGAATAACCTTTCCATCTAAAAAATATCAACTTCCACTTCCATTTAGCTTTTTTCCAGCAGACACTTTAAATGCATCATCAGTTCAATCACCACCTCTACTACAGTAACTTGAGTTGGACCACTAGCATTAGCATAGTTAAACCAAAGAGTTCTGTCACCTCATGAGACAGGATAGACATTGTGAGACGTGAATGGGACTGACCTTTCTTTGTACAGTTTTCAGCAGCTCGACCAAGCTATTCACTCTGTTTATGTTTGGAGCATGGCTTACATGAGTTGTTGATAACTAGGAAAACCTGGAGTAGAGTTTTAGCCATAGGCGTATTCTCTTGTCAATCACCTGAAATGGATTCTTTCATGAATCAATAGAAATAGTGCTCAGGTGGTAATATGTTATTTTAAATGTGGAGAGTCCAGACAACTATTTTTCAAATGGTCTATTTGCACATAGTCATTATGATGCCAGTAAAAACCAGCAGAGTGTCTGGGCTGGCTTCATGGAAAACATGCAGATATCCACAGGCCGATCTCTGCCGATCACTGCTGATCGCCTGGAATGGCTGTTAATTTTTTTTTGCTTTGATCTGGCAAAGTGGAAAAAATATCTAGCAATAAATTCACCTAATTTAGATGTAGTAGTCATATTTTAATACATATCTAAAATACATATATATTTTTTAAGTTACATGCTGCAGCTTTAAGCAGACGTTCGATGTGAGAGTTCACTGTCTGGTGGAGGATGAGCTGCTCTACAGCTGTGAAATATTACTACCAGTAGCGCGTAGCGGCGGTCCAAGAGCAGGAGCAGAACCAGCATCTTACACCGCCAACTCAAAGACTTAAATTATTTTTCGGATTATTTGTTTAGCTTTCTGGGCATCATACTCATCGGGGTGAGTTTTCGTAGTTGTGTGCTGTTTACCTGCTGTCTGGCCGCTCTGGATGTCTTTTTTTCCTGCGTTGAGCCTGGATGTAGCCAAACTCTGTTAAGTGTTTGTTTTTTAAATGCCATATTAGATTTGTTGTGTTGATGCATTTTGATGTGCTTAACCCCCAAGGTAATTTTCCACTGCAACACGCAAACTTCTCCATTCACTCTGAGAGTTCCACACTACACGATTTGTTGCCGCGCGCTTGCACAGTGAGAAGGAAAGAGGACATCAGCTGCACAGGCAGGCTGCGAAGAGACAGTGATCGGCGATTACCAATCATACACTTTTAATGATAATGATCAGTGGAAGATCGATCGGCACATCACTAATGCAGACAAAATTTTATTACAAACATTTTTAGAAGCAATTTTAAAATTACACCAAAAAATAATAAACTGTCATGTGGATTCAAAAGCGAAATATATTCCATTGAAATTCTTTCCTGTTTTCTCTGTTTTTCTGTGCAGCAGCTGATGAGAGAACGGCAGCAGATGGCCAGTCGTCCCTTCGCTTCGGTTGCCATGGTGCTGGAGGTGGGCGGCGACCAAGAGGAGCTGCAACAGGTCAGAGCGAGGCTGCAAACAGTGGCACACTTGCACAAGTAAACACAAACAAACAGAGCACACGGAATACATTCAGTTGCAAATTTCATGTGAGTTTTCTTTCATTGAAAAACGCATAATAATACAAATGAGAAGTTTTGTTGAGAAAGGTTAGGGTGAAAAATATCTTTCTAGAAGCGCAGCATTTTCAAACTTATTTTATGATACTGTTACAAACTGATGTATTGAATATTAAAAAATAAATGATGGAAAATGAATTATTATACATTTAATTCATTTAAAATCACTTACAATTGTAAATAATGATAAAAGAAAATTGACAATTTCTGTGAAAATTAAATTAGAACACCCTGAATATATTCAGGGAGATAAAATTACACACAGGTTTGTTTCATTAGTTGCTGATAAATAGAACATTACTGGCTTTGTGATGGAGTTTGGATTATTTCTAACTGATAAAATGAACGTTAAGACCACAGTAATGTCAAAACATATGTTTATAACTTTCAGATAGAACGTTGTTGCAACTTATGTATCTGATAAATAACTTACAGGAAGGCCTGACAAGAATTTGAAAACATCATCATTTCACTATATAGATAACAGTCTACAAGTAGAGGACATTCAAAATATCAAGCCGAGGATCAGCCAAGTGATTTTATCCTGAAGGAAAACCTCATGATATTAAAACTCCAAAAACTCTAAAATTTCATTGTGTTACCAAAGACTGGTTCAGAAATAAGGAAAAGGATCCCCAAACTGGCCTCTAGGGGGCATTGTGTCTTAACTTTTTCCTCTAGAAAACACATTTTTTGTTGATATGTTTTGTTTAATTAGTAAAATTTATTCATTTTTATGGCTTTGACACGTTGGAATGACAGATTTTTTTTTTTTTTTTTGAAGTGTGATGCTGTCGGAGCTCTGGTGAAGCTAGCAGCACATTGTCTGAAAAACAGACCATCATCCTCCCACCACTTCCTGTTGTCTTTTTCATTGTTTCCACCAGTAGTAACATCAGATTGCTGATCACGTGATGGGTGTGATGTGAAAAAAGTTTTTCTTTTACAGTTTTGAGAAATAAATAATTTGATATGGTTAAAAAACCACCTCAGCACAACAACTTATCGAAAAAGCTTTTAAAATTGGCCTGTTTCAATTAAGCCAGTTTGTTTTCAGAATTTCAATTTGCTCAATTGCGTGGGTTTTCTCCGGGTACTCCGGTTTCCTCCCACAGTCCAAAAACATGACTGTCAGGTTAATTGGCCTCTCCAAATTGCCCCTAGGTGTGAGTGTGTGTCTGCATGGTTGTTTGTCTCTGTGTTGCCCTGCGACAGACTGGCAACCTGTCCAGAGTGTACCCCACCTCTCGCCCGGAACGTTAGCTGGAGATGGGCACCAGCATCCCTACGGACCCCACTAAGGGACAAAGGTGTTAGAAAATGGATGGATGGATGGATGGAATTTGCTCAATTGTATGGTGAATGGGAAGATAGCTACTAACAGAATATTTGGACAACAGCACTAATATCCAGACAAAGCTAGAGCTACAAGATTAGCCATTTGACTGTCGGTCATCACAGAGAGGCACCTGGTCAAATGGTTTGAATCATCCTCTGGTACTAGTTAGGTTACAGAACACATAGTAGTAAAACCTGTAAATACTCTGTACCTTTGTCTTGAATGTAAAGCTGTTATTTGGTTCATAGGGTTGTTATTGCTGTTCTTAAATTGGGATGAGTGATTTTTAGCTTTTATTATCAAGAGACAACTGAATTTTGCAAAGCTGACCCCAAGTAAAATCTGAGCTTTCTACACTTTTCTTGCAGTTTACATTTTAGTGAAGTACCTTGTGTCAAACTAATGTTCTGTAACATGTTACTGTTTAGTTGCCAGGTGTTCGCCAATAAATTACCTCATTTAACAACATGTGCTCAGCAGCAAAACCAACCAAATTCATTTGAATAACCTTGCCTGCATGACATTTATTTCAATTAATTATCTTGGAAGCTGTAACGGATTACAGGAGGTGAACGGATCACCTCCTATAATCCATTATAGCTTCCAGGACCTGAAAACAACGCCTCAGCCAAAGTGAAACATAGTGACAACTGTTGAAGAATGAGTCCAACTTTTCAACATGAGGTGTTCACAAGTTCTTTAGTTCAACATGAATTTCAAGTCTTTGAGGGTCTAGTCCAAGTCAGTGTTTGGAGAGAAAAGTCTGAATCAAGTGTCCATCCTTTGAAGTGATGTTCAAGTCAAGTCTTCAGTGTTAAAAAAACACAATTTTGCAATAATTATGTTGACATTAAATAAGAATAGCAATTGAAATAACACGTTAATAAGTTTGTTCATGCAATGCCATTAAAAAACATACCACGCCTACCACTTCCTGTCATCTTCTTTGTCTTTTCTGCCAGCAGAAACATCCGGTTGGTCATCACCTGACTCTTGTGATATGGAAAAAGTTTTTTTTTTCCATTTTAGTT